CCCCAGCCAGCAAAGCTGGCTGGGGAATTCTGGGAGTTGAAGTCCTCCAGGCTTAAAGTTGCCAAGGTTGGACACCCCTGGTATAGAGCATCTCCCATGTATTTGTTGTAGTTTTTCCATGTGGGGAAATGGCCGTGTATAATTTGGCTGAGAGAAAAGAGGATTTGTCAGGAGGTTGGGTTTCAGTTTTTTCCCCCTCACTTTATTTGTTTTTGTTTCCTTCCTCGCTCCTAGTGAATGGCGGCTGGTCTACCTGGTCAGATTGGTCCTCGTGCAGCAACCGTTGTGGCCGTGGGTGGCAGAAGCGTACTCGCACCTGCACCAATCCAGCACCACTCAATGGCGGCTCTATTTGTGAGGGACAATCTTTCCAGAAGCTTGCCTGCACCACCATGTGCCCAGGTAGGTACACCTGGGGGGAGGATATTGCTTTTCAGATCTTTTGCATGAATTAGGCACTTGTTTATCCTGCTCTAGAAGGCTAATAATGAAGTTACTCAGAGTTGAGCCTCTGATCTTGAATTTTGAGCTTCTGTCATAAGGAAAAAGATGAGTCATTTTTGAAAATATTTCCTTTGCTGTTTCTGATCTGAAGGATGGTCAATGTACTCTTCTGCTCCTCTGAAGCAATTATTTGCCATCTGCTCCTGACTTTACTTCTTGACCAGCAAAGTCCCAACTATTTTTATGAATATTTGCCTTCCTGTAATGTCACACACACACACACACACACACACACACACACACACACACCCTCCCTTCACCCAAACCCTAGAACTGTCCCAATTAAGTCAACCCAAAAGCATACCGATGCTAGTCCACAGAGCAATGGCCAATGAGTCCACAAGGCACTTGAAAGTTTCCCAATCAAAATAAACCCACCAGGCAAAATCAAATCCACAATACAAGAGGGTTCATGAGGCAAGAAAAGTCCAGAGTTCACAAGGCCCGATCCAAGTCAAGGCATGATGTCAATCGAAAGGAAGGCAAGAATCACAACGACCAGAAAACACACAGCTGGGAAGCGAACATGTTGTTCCCAGCATCGTTTCCATCCGCCTGCTGTGCTAAATAATAGCCAGCTTCCAATGCAGCCCAACAAGAAGGGTGAGGCTGCCTCCTCATGGAGTAATCTGGCTGATCTTCTCTGCTCCTGCCTTTTCTCTGCCCTAACGTGTTCTTGGATCAGATGCAGCAGGTTTCCTCATCCTTGATCGTCTATAGCTGTATGCTTTTTTTTCCACCTGAAGCCTCAGGGCTGTCCTGTGCTTGAGCCAAATTGTGCCCAGCATTTAGAAAAGACCATTTTTAGCTATAATACTTACCTTCTGTTGCAGCCCCAGTGACTAAAACAGCTGAGGTGCGGCAAACCACTTTGCCGCACGAATCAGCTGTGCTCACAAACAAGGAAATAAAGCACAGGAAAAGGGCAGGAGTGAGTTGGTGAGGCCAAATGATCACCAGAACTACTGGTTCGCCTGAACTGGTCCGAACCAGTAAAATCCCACCCCTGGCCAAATTCCTCTCAAACTGGCTGCTTGGAGCCAATAACCAACTCCCCTCCAGATGTGCTTAGAACTGGTTCGTCTTCCTCTGAACTGACATCTGGAGAGATAACTGAGGAAGTCCTCACATTTCCTTAGATATGCTTTAGAGACCTTGAAAGATGATGCAAGGCCATGTAAGGTGGCCTTCTCCTCCTTTTTCTTTCATTTTCTTTCTCAGGCCTCTGGAATAAGGAGTAAATATTGCTCGTTGAGTCATCTGTTTGATTGAAATAATACATCTTGTTGTTGTTTTCTTGACACAAGGAGGCCAAGCTAGTTTTGAGGCTCGTACTGTGGATCTGACAGGAATTACAAGATGGCTATCATTCAACATATGGTTTTGTTTTATTTCCCAGATGGGCATCAAAATCAAAACGTTATACTAGGTTTTCCCAACCTGGTGCCCTTCAAATGTTGCACTGTAATTCTCATAATCTCCTGTAAATGTCACAGCATCTGCTAGCAGCAAGACATACTATTTCAAAGTACAGGCAAAAAGAACAATCTTCTTACACTTGTAGCCCGGAGAGAAAAAAATAGGATAAATATCATAGTAAGGAAAACAGTAAAAGCTGCTTTGTGAGAATCCAGGACATTTTAATCTAGTTGCTGTTTTTGCCAGCTTCAGGAGTAAAATGCATATAGTTTATGACAGGATGCTGGACCCTAAGATAAATCAGGCTGTGAAATGCATTTGCTTGATGAATTTGTTCCATTTGGTATGGATTTTGAATTTATATCTTATGATAAATTGAGATTAGAATTTGAAAATGTTTGCAAGAACACTTTGCGGTAGCCAGAATTATGACCTATGAAGTATACAGTTTTTTTTATTTTAGATTACATATATCCCCTTTATCATACCAGATAACCATAGGCAGATCTTGGTATCTTAGCCCAGCAGCAAATAATAAATTGCATAAATAAGAAGGAAATTATTGTCTACTACGTCAGTCTGAGAGAATTTTAAATAGTGTGCAAACACTAAAATTAAAGCAATTGCAACATCATAATCATCATGATTTTAATGCCAAATTCAAAAATTAATACAAATAGTCCCCCGGTTATGAGTGTTCCCTTAGCAAACGTTCAAAGTTATGTGAACAATGCACCCTAGCGTTTATGAACAAGGCCTGAAACTATGAATCTTGCAGCACCACGGCAGTTGTTTGCCCTTACAAACAACCTCAGAGGCTCTACAACATTAGTCCAGCATGTTGCAGGCCAAAATGGAGCTTCTGAGGAGATGATCCACCCCACAGAAGCCCCATTTGGGACTCCAAAGGCCGTGCCCGGCCTGTTGCCAGCTAAAATGGAGCTTCCAAGGGGAAGATCCGCCCCTCAAAAGCCCTGTTCCACCCTCTGTGGACCTCCCCCAGGCTGTTGCAGGCCGAAATGGAGCCTCTGGGGGCCAAGATGCCTTGGGTGGTCTTAAGCAGATGTTCCATCAGCAGGCCCCCATGGCCTTCCCCACCCTAAAATACTTCATGTGCACTTAACAAGACTCTCATTCGATTAGCAAATGTGTGGGTGAAAGAAGGGAGTGATCTTGTTCAAGGTATGAGATTCACTCCCATGAATCCTCGGGTTACGAATGGAATGGGCAGGCTCAGTTACATTCGTAACTTGAGGACTACCTGTACCAGCCCTGATCTGCAGAACCACCACCACCCAAAAAAACCAAACCAAAAACAAAGGCCTTCTGAAATAGCCCATTTGACCAGCTTCCCCTTTTGGGCCCATGGATTTTTAATTAGCTTTCTCGGTGCTCATGTGTCCTTTTTTTTTTTTTTTTTGGCAATGCAGTAGATGGAGCTTGGACTGAATGGAGCAAGTGGTCAGCCTGTAGCACCGAGTGCACGCACTGGAGGAGCCGAGAATGCATGGCTCCATCTCCCCGAAATGGAGGCAAGGACTGTAGCGGCGTCCTCCTTGATTCCAAAAATTGCACCGATGGGCTATGTATGCAAAGTAAGTTCAAGTACACAGGCTGGGAAAGAGAGGGCTAAGATCAAGAGTCAGAAATGTTCAAGGGAATGATTGAGATCTTTTTAAGACCTTGTAAACTGCGAGGCGCCTCCTGAAGGTGTGTCTGAGAAGATTGGTAAGACATGATTGCTGACTCTGTCTGCTCCCAGCTTCTCTAGGATAGTTTTAATGTTTTAGTCTAAACTAGTCCTTTAACCACAAATTGCTATGGCATTTATAGGATAATATTCATGCTTGCAAATCTGGAACATTATACACTTACAGAGCAGTGATGGGGTGCAGACTCCTACTGAGTACTTTCTAGCAGCAAGTTTGGGTTCATACTACGTTCTGCATAAAACAAGCCATTGTACCAGCTATTTCAGTGAATCATTTCAGATCGGGTTGATGGATTGGGATTTCAAGTAGGAACAATTTGCAAGGATACATGCTTTGGGATCAAGCTGTGGATACTGAAAATCAGTGAAAACAACTTTCACGTATCTTCTGGCTCAACTAGCAAATGCTTGAAATGAAAGTCCATATCATTCAACAGAATTCCATCTTCATTATAAAAAGAGTCCTTGAGTTACGACTATAATGGAGCCTGCCCATTTTGGTTGTAGGTCATAACAATTGTAAAATGGGGAATTCTATGGCAGCCATCACAAAAGAAGTGCTGTGGTCATTAAGGGAACCCCATGGTTGTTAAGTGAACCAATGGTTCATTACTGATGCAATTTTGCCAAAAAACTGGAAGTAACTGCCAGTTTTTGGCAAAATCGTCATCAAATATGGTCATGTGACTATGGGGGAGATGTCCATCACAACTTCAGATCCAAGTCACCTTTTTCGGGTTGGGGCATAACTTCGAATAGTCACTAAGGACTGGTCATAAGTCAAGAACTACCTGTATTAGACTATTTCATTAAAAAACAACTTTTGTGTGATCAAAATTTTCTTCTCTGAGATACATCATTTTTTTAAAAAAACCAGGAAAATGATTGAGAATCTGTAGTCAAAATTAGTGAATAAAATGCCCCTTCTTCTTGACTAATTTTGAATCAGTCTTGAAGGTTAATATTCTTCAAGCAAATGAAAGTATCATACTTGATATATTTGGCCTTCTATTTAACATTCCTTAATATTAATGCAGGAAGAAAGACTATTAGACAGATCTAAATTCTGCCATAAGAAGAGAGCAAGCATTTCATCTGAAAATAACATATCGTTTTTGTGTTTGTACAAAACTATTTCTGGATCAGGTCCCAGATCAAAGGATCGGGAATAAGCCGTGATATGTTCATTTGGCTAGTTAGTTTTAATGAGTACCTGAAATTTTCAGTACAGCGAGTCCTTGACGTACAACCAGGATTGAGCCCAAAATTTATGTTGCTAAGTGAGACATTTGTTAAGTGAGGTTTGCCCCTTTTTAGGACCACAATTGTCAAGTGACTCATTGCAATTGTTAATTTGGTAACCCAGTTGTTAAGTGAATCTGGCTTCCCCATTGAAGTTGCTTGTCAGAAGGCCGCAAAAGTTGATCATGTGACCCTGGGACACTGCAACCGTCAAAGACATGAACCCCCTTGCCAAGCATCTGATATTCTGATCCTGGGGCCATGGGTATGCTGCAATGATTGTAAGTCAGTGGTGGGATTCAGAAAATTTTACTACCAGTTCTGTGGGCATGGCTTGGTGGACGTGGCATGGTTTTGTGGGCATGGCAGGGGAAGGATACTGTAAAATCTCCATTCCCTCCCCATTCCAGGGGGAAGGTTACTGCAAAATCTCACTTCCTCCCAGCCCACTAACCTGCAATCCAGCTCCAGTCTCCTGTGCAATGCAACAAAAGAAGACCCAGCTGATCAGCTGGGACTCGGGAGGCAGAGAATAGACGGGGGCGAGGCCAGTCAGAGGTGGTATTTGCCGGTTCTCTGAACTACTCAAAATTTCCGCTACCGGTTCTCCAGAACTAGTCAGAACCTGCTGAATACCACCTCTGTTATAAGTGTGAAAAACAGTCATGTCACTTTTTTTCAGTGCTGCTGTAACTTGGAACGATCACTAAACGAATTGTTGTAAGTCCAATGCTATCTGTACATCCCAGTAATTAATGTTACTGCTTTCCCAGCTTACACTTCGACAGCAGAAGGAATGTTGTCAGGCAGCTGCAGCAAATACCTACTTCAGTATTATAGTCCTTTAGGGCTTCAGGTTTATCTCAGAAAGGATGCTGTTGGTCAGTTTCCTCTGTCTGGCCTTGCACATGTACAGATGTTCCATAATCTCATGGTAAGCCAAGCCAGTAGCTGGTCCGTCACAAAAAAAAAAAGACTAAGTGAGCGTTAGCCTATAAAAAGCCAATAGCTTTTGTGTGGTCCTCATCCATCTGTTCTAAATACAATCGGGAAGAACAGAAGAGCCAATGCATTTATTGCTCCCATTTGAGACATACAAATAAATTACCCGATGAAGCAAAAGAGCAAACTTTGTTTCCGTCATGTCTCTGGTTTCCTTTTTAACCAGCAAACTTTCAAAACTCAGATGGTTGTTTTCCTTGTGTGTGTGTGTGTTGGTGCTGCCACCTGCTGTTGTCACATGGATTTCTGTTGGGACAACAAATGGTTTTCCTATCTGGGTTGTTTTGCTATGGTAGAATACCATCCCTTGAAGCCTGCCTCTGCAATTTTAAACAGCGCTGTTGAATTGACCCTTTGGAGCAGGGGTGTCAAACTGGCAGCCCTTGGGCCGGATACATCATGCGCAGGCCACGCCCACATCAGCTCCACGAAGGGGGGAGAAGTCACATGACAGCACTGTGACGCGGCGAGTTTGACACCTGTGCTTTGAAGCTTCAATCAGGTGCTCATGCAGAGGTGGTATTCAGCAGGTTCTGATAAGTTCTGGACAACCCAGTAGCGGAAGTTCTGAGTAGTTCAGAGAACCAGCAAATGCCACTTCTGACTGGCCCCGCCCCCATCTATTCTCTGCCTCCCGAGTCCCAGCTGATCGGCTGAGTCTTCTTTTGTTGCCCTGCATAGGAGAACGGAGCTGCAAAGCAGGTTAGTGGGGTGGGGAGGGAATGGGGATTTTGCAGTAACCTTCCCCCAGGAGTGGGGTGGAAATGGAGATTTTACAATATCCTTCCCCTGCCATGCCCACCAAGCCAAGCCAAGCCCACCAAGCCACGCCCACAGAACCAGTAGTAAAAAAAATTTGAATCCCACCACTGTGCTCATGGCCATCAACTTGATTTTTTTTATTTTTATTGGCCCCACAGCTGTGCTTACTCTCTCTCCTATATAGGAACCAAACAGAGACGAATGAATAAAATCTGATTTGGCACTACAAAGTTCATGCTCTTCACCCGCATACAGCTGACAAGGAAGAATCTAGTGCAGAAAAAATATGCCTTGATAAATGCTTCAGTCATTAAAATGCCATAAGATTCTTCACTGTTTCTCTCCAAAGGATGTATTCGGAGTGTCTCTCTTTCAAGATGGATGTGATGGGCTCAGAAGGGCACACAGAGTGTTATACATCACAAAGGGATTTGTAATGCAATGTGCAGATCAGATAAATGACACTCCAACTGATCTGAGCATTGTTTAATAGTTTTACATTTTGATGGCTGCCACCCTCCCTCCAAAATTGTATCAGTGAGATACCATTTTGAATAAGCATGCATATTACTGGCCTCTAAGCCATCAGGTAGGTAGAAAAGAAGGAAGGAAGGAAGGAAGGAAGGTAGCTATGGATAGATGACAGACAGGCAGACAGACATACAAACTAGAAAAATTTAGGATGGTAAAAGGTCCTCAAGTTATTTTGTCATAATACTGAGAGGAATCCTCGTAAAGACAGTTTGGCAATAAGTTTACACTGAGCTATAAAAACATAGGATATATGTTGGTCATAGGCTCATATTTGCATATGGCTGAGGTAGAGAATATAGATTCTCTATTTTAATAGCATGATCGGTTAAAAAGAATATCAGTATTTTTCTTACGAAGAAGCAGGAAAACAGAAAATCAGAATGGTTGATTCCATTGGTTTTCCTTCAGTTCTCCTAACATCCTGATTCTTATGGTGCAGCTAGATCAGAATTGCTCTGTAACTTCAATTCGGTATATGACCCCTTGATTCTGGTATAAGCTTTAAGGCAGGGGTCTCCAACCGTGGCAACTTTAAGCCTGGTGGACTTCAACTCCCAGAATTCTGGGACTTGAAGTCCACCAGGCTTAAAGTCGCCAAGGTTGGAGTCCCCTGCTTTAAGGGATTTCTCATTCTTTTGTGTCAATCATGCCATCATTTTTGGTCTCCTGGAATATACATATAGATGTTTTTGGCCATAGTTTGTTCTTCAAACTTGTTTCAATTTAGTTTCTGAATGTTTCGTTACCAGACTAGGTAGCAGGATTTTCTTGTCCTATTCCCACTAGCTTATAAATGTATTGTGTGCCAGTTTGGTCAGTGGGTTGTGTGATTGGTTGTTTGTTTGGAGCTATATTTAAATTCTGAGCGGCTGATTGGTTCTTTTGTTGACTGGTCATTCGAATGGTCTGGTTCCTTACTTATTCATATGCTGGATCTAGATCAATATGCTTGTTAAATTGCTCCTTTGGTAGAATACCAGGCTTCAAAATAAATTCACCTGTATGGTGCGTGTTGGCATGGCCAATAATTTTTGTTCCTTCCCAATCAAACTGGTGTTATTATATAGATGTTTTATTCACATTTTTTTTCCCCATTCCCATCCTATTCCAGTAAATTTGGATTTACACAATTGCACTTAAGCAATTCTGCTCCAGTTCAGTAATCCGTGGACAGTTCTGATGTTTGTTAGTTTGATCTATGAAAGGGAATCTCCAGGGGGAGAAAATGTAAACGAGCCAGGCTGAGCATCTAGAAACAAAACCGTGTACGCAGGAACTTAACCAAATGGGTGGAATGAATTGATGTACGGGTCTAATTGCATAAACACCTTTGATCAGGAAAGTGGGAAGACAGTATAAGTGAGAAATGAGACAATTTGTGCTTCTGCACTGATGAGTTATTAAAAGATGCATATCTCTTTAACAAGAAATATTATGAGCTTTAGGATAAAAGGAGACAACTCTGAAGTAGAACAGAAAACAGGGACTTCTAACCCATCAGAAAACTGGTGCTCGTCTGAATGAATGCTTAGATTTGCTGCGTCTTGTTATTTAATAACCTAAGATGGACGTAGAAGTAGTATTTAAAGCAGGGGTGTCCAACCTTGGCAATTTTAAGACTTGTGGACTTCAAAGCTGGCTGAGGAACTCTGGGAGTTGAAGTCCACAAGTCTTAAAGTTGCCAAGGTTGGACACCCCTGATTTAAAGTGTGTGCATGCCCATTCGTATTTCCTGATGCATATGTAGTAAAAGTGACTGCAATTTGAATAGAAATGCAGTGTAACATGCCCCTGTGGAAATGGTAACTGAGTGTCGGTGCTCATAATGAAGAGGTTGCTAAGATTGTCTTACAGGTCTTTTATACTTTTATGAGATGGTCTTTCAGCAGAAACAGTAGAACCCATGTCCATCATAGAGAGCTGGTCTTGGGTGTTCATTTACACTACATCCCAGACCGTAAGGATGTTCAAACTTACAACATTAAACAAACTGTTCTACTAGAGTTGTGGGTCAGTAGATGCTTAAAAAGTAAAGGTTGCGCAGCAATCGTATAAAATGCCAATTTTCTTTTAGCTCACGATTTCCTTTTGCATGTAGCTTTTATGTTCCGTTGTGTTTAAATTTTCCATCATTCCTTTTTCCTTTTGGTTTGCTGGAAATGATGGGGGACAATCAACCTTTTGTTTTCTGTTTATTACCATCATTACTGTCATGTCATCCTCATTTTTCAACTTTTTCTTTTTTTTTAACTTTTTTCCTCTAACAGATAAAAGATTTGTAAGCGAACCCAAAACTCACCGTAAGTCTCCATTTCATAGTCATTTCTTTTCATTGTTCTCATAGTCATTTCTTTTCATTGTTCTGCATTTAAGTGATGGGATAACATTTGGGTGGGGGGTTTTTTAATAAGGGTTTTAATAAGATGTCAAGGCACTCCTGAAGAAGCTCCACTGAAGGAATATTGAATAGTTCTTCATAGCTAGAGAGGATCAAGAGGGACAGATAAAATTGAAGGAAACCTTGGAGATGCAACCATAAAATAAGTCCATCCAGAGGCCCAATGGATTTTTCAAAAAGCAAACTGGATTTATTTTTAACAGTCAAAGGAATTTTACTTTAAATTTGGTAGCAGAGATACAATAGTTTTCACCTCAGTATTAAAATTCAATTATTAAAAGCCAGGCCCCAGAAAAAAAAGAGAAATGCATAAGTCTCTTGCCTTCAAGATTTCCCAAAATACACACTTCAATAATTCAGATCTTTAGTTCCTTCATTTATTAAAAAGGTGATAATAATGCTCAGATTAACTGCTCAGTAAAAGGAGAAGGATCTATTACTGGGGCCATGATTGCAAAAGCACTGGTATGATTGAGAGAAAGTAATTAGTCTTAATTATATTTGCACTATTTATAATTATAACAGGATTAGCTGGACATTTCTCTCTGAGATTAGAGAAAGGCCTTCTACTGTGGAGGAGAAAAACTAACATCTGGAGGTTTTCTTCTTTTAGTTCTGTGCCTGGAAACGCCTGCATTGGGCACAACATGGAGTATGATAAGACCTGAATCCTAAGTGGTTCTAATTTTCTTCTTTTTCTTGCAAAAACATGACTGGAAGGCTGAAGAGGCTCTCCTCTCTGTTGGACTGCCAACTCACACACAAGGCTCTGAATTCCTTTCCCAAATCCCATACTAAACCCTGATGCAGCTAGAAAAGTGAATAATAGGAACATATTCAGTTATGTGCCTATCCTCCAGAACTATATTTCACTTAAACCTTCAACAAGATTGAATTCAACAAAATCCCAGTAGAGAATCCAGCCAAGCAGTGGGCTTTCTCCCTGTAAGAATTTTTTTCCTCTCTTAACTTGGGTCTCTCTCTCTTTCTCTCTCTCCCTCCCTCCCTCTCTCCCTCCCTCTCCCCCCATCTCTCTTGTTTCCCTGATTTTCCCTTGGCCACCATTAATGTGTTAGTAGCTTATAAGGCATCCGCCAGCCCTCATTTTTGTTTTGTGGGAATTGGAGTGTTCCTGTCAGCCCTTCCCTCTGCCAACCCCTGAGGGGAATTTTCCACAGTGGCTGCTTCTCAGAGGCTATATAAAGATCAAAGCATGTACTCTCAATTGAATGTGCAGCATAAAAGATGTAATTGGTTCTGCTTGAGGGTGATCCGGCACAGAATAATTTCCATCATTATTAATTTAGGGCTTTCCCCACCCCCCTCTAACATCCATCAAAAATCAAATGAAGGGTTAGTAAAGATTAACACTGTTAAAGTATCCTGCCAGGTTTCCCGGATATTGGATAGATAGATTTGGGACCATCTCCAAAAACTTTTAGGCTTTTCGTCCCATGTTTGTTTTATTCCCACTCCAAAATTCTTTATTTCTGTGAAGCCAGAAAAGCCATTCCTTAGCTCATGGACAGGAAACAGGTGGCCACTGATGTTGCTAAACTAGAACTCCCTCTTCATTATTGGAAAGAGAGCAAGTTGCACTCAGCAACATCTGGAGAGTACAGTGTCACCACATTGATCACTATCACATCCATCCTTCCATTCCCACATTTTTCTTTCTTCTCTCAGATTTAAGATTGGCATCCTTTGGTGTAGGGCCATACATCGTGACGCTATATTCATCTGTAATTCAGAATATAGTCTTCTTGACCACACCCAGGTAGTGTTAAACAAGGTTTCAAGAAGAACGTTTCCCATCGCCATTTTATGGACTTTATTTGCATTACTGGCCACTCTGTCCTACAGCCAGGGGATTTCCTGCTGGACGTTTATATAGACATTAAATGAGTTAGCTTTGCAAAAATCAGCCAAGGTTGACTACTTGTTGAGCGTATATATCATAATAATATTAGAGTAAATATTATATGGACGCACTGCAGGAGGAAGATTACATGTCCTTACCAGCATTACTCATAAATATATACAACCTCTATTCTACCTGATCTGTATTTCACCTTGTAGTGAGACTGGTGGACCGAGGAATTACTTTAGAAACACCTAATGATGGAAACCAGACAGGAGTGTCCCTCTATATACCTTTGCCATCTTTATGAAAGCCCCTCTGTGGAAAATGTGTGTTTCAAATTACCAGTTATTTCTCCTTCATTTCACTTCAATATTCCCGCTGTCCATTGATGAAGAATCTCCCAGAGGACCACACACCATGATAAATACAGCCCTGATATAATTGCAGCATAAAAATCTCCTTAGTTCTGCTTCATATATTCTGCCTCACAGAGAAGGAGACTCCAGGACACTTGTGGCGAAAACAAATCCAGGAAAGCAGGGAAGAATTTAAAAGAAAAGGGAGAGAAGGGAGGGGAGGGGAAATCAAGGTAGGTCATGTGAATGTTAGTCCCTTTGCTGTGCTTGGAATAATTCATTGGCTTAAATAAAGGTGAGATGAGGCCTCTTCGTAATATTTTGAAAATGGCCGAAAGATCACAGCTAAGGGGGGGGGGAATGTTCCCTGGAGATTCCACTGGCATTTAAGTGCTGTAGTCTATTTTTTCCCCCTGGTTCTGATTGGTAGGTTTATCTGAAGAACCTCATAGAGACTGAATTTAAGGCTTACAGTTTTTGACATAAATACCACTTATGCAAGCAAAGAAGTTATAAAAGTGGAAGTCAGGAACCATTGGAAGGAGAGGAGAGGGAAAGATATACTTATGCAGGAAATATAATTGCCAGTTCGGGCTGCTCTGGGCCCATTTCTTCTCTAATCAAGGGGAAACCTGCATGAGGGATTGCTCTGATTCAGTGTTTTTTTCAAACTTGGCAACTTTTCAGATGCGTGGACTTCAACTCTCAGAACTCCCCAGGCAGCAGGAGAATTCTGGGAGTTGAAGGTCACACATCTTAAAGATGCCAAGTTTGAAAAACACTGCTCAAAATTCATGCTTCGTGTTTGTTGTCTGTTTGGTATACGTACGTGCAGACCAACTCTTGTGATTTGCAACCATGGTTTATGTCACACTGCAACCAATAAACCACATCCAAACCTGATGTACAAAGCAAACCCTTGATTCTACTGAAAGCCCTCTTACTATATTTCTCTGGAGATGGTTTCATTCGGATTCTGGCATTGAGTAGGTGGTTGCATTCAATGGCCCCTTCCAAGTGCACAATTCTCTGATCACCTCTGTATATTTGGTTTCTTATAGAACACTGGTGATTTTTTTTCAAGCACGTATGTCCTTTCTGAAGTTCACGGCAGGAGATTGCTTGCTGAGTGCTCTTACTACCTTTAGCTGTTTGTTTGTGTGTTTGCTTGCTTGCTTGCTTGCGTGCTTACCATTCTTGGCTGATAATGTCAACATATAAGATAATACCCTTCCATTTCAAATATATATTAAAATAAAAGATCAAGAAATATTTTAAAAAGCCCAAAATGGAAATGTCACGTACCCCTAAACTTAACCTTCAGTTACAACACAAGACAGTCCTCTCCTACAAGGCAGAACAGGTAGATCTTCACAAAGTTTAGAGGAACAAAGCTGGTTAAATCCTTACCAGGAGGCAGTTTCAAGGAATGGAGACAGTTATTGTAAACACCGGGTTTTGTGGCCCTGTCAGTTGTGCACCCCCATCTGTATTCGTCAATTCTTGCTTCAATTAATACCCATTACCTCAGATATTTCTCCTGATCTTCCCTCCCTATTGGTTCTTTCTTTCCTTGCTTATCTTCTTGCTTTTGACAGGCTTATTTCTTCCTTCAACTCTAATTTTCTATCCAGGTTATTGGATGCAGGACTGTGTAGAAGATTTCTCTAAAGTAGTTGACCAAAGTTATGGCAGATGTGAATAGTACTACATAGGGGTGGGATTCTACCGGTTTGGACCAGTTCAGGCAAACTGGTAGTTCCGGTGAGCATTTGGCCTGCCTACCTACCCCTGCTCTTTCCTGTGCTTTATTTCCTGTTTTTTTAGCACAGCTGATTCACGTGGCAGATTGGTTTTCCGTGCCTCAGCTGTTTTAGTCCCAGGGGCTGCAGTAGAATATAAGCAATTGAGTTGAAAATGGGTTATTTTAAATGTGGAGGATGCGCGCAAAGCGCATGCTCATCTAACCGGTTGTTACACCAGTTGAATCACACCACTGGTACTACAGCACCTATCCACAGAACTGAGAATTGCCTTTACCTTCTTCCAAACTAGGCAATCAACCTAAATAGTGGCTGGTAGAGAAATGAGCCCCCTGTACCCTACTGTTAACAAAAGCAGAAAAATCAATGCTTGCTTCCTGCCATTCAGCTGATGAATGGTATCAGCTTGCCTACAAGGAAGTAAGCCAGAATGGCAATAAGGAACACCCTGCTTAGTGCTACAGACCTGAATTGCAAGCCCATTGTCTTGTAGGAAGCTTCTCCTCCTTCTCTTGTCTCAGGTTTGAGTGCCTCTAAATAGGAAGCCTAATTGAAAGAAGACTGGCAAATCAAGCGATTAAGAAAACGATAGGGTTCCCCACCCCACCCCACCCGCAGTTAAAGAGCTTTCCCGTTATTATTTTTTATGGCCCATCCCCAAATCCTGAGAGAGGTCAGACAATGAGCATGGGAAATGTAACTGATTTGGACTCTTTTGGCTTTGATCTTTGTGTCTATGGAGATTCTTAATCAACCAGGCCATGGTTGTCCCAAAGGTGCTTTTTCCAAAAGGCAAATGGACTTTCTTGGGGGGTTTTTTGGCCTTTTGGAAAAAGCATCTTTGAGACTTTGATCTTTATGTCTGTATACCCCAAGAGGTCTCCAAACCTGGCAACTTTAAGACTTGTGGGCTTTAACTCTTAGAATTCTGTGAGTTGAAGTCCACAAGTCTTAAAGTTGCCAAGTTTGAGGACCCCTGGTATAGCCAGTGTTTGAAGGTTTCTAAATTAGGAACTGAGCAAAGAGAAAGTGACAACTTTATCCAATCTCTCTCTCTCCCCAGTACTGGAGACATCTGGTGATGTGGCTTTGTATGCTGGCATAGTGGTGGCCATTTTCGTCTTTGTCGTTATCTTGATGGCTGTTGGGCTGGTTGTGTATAGGCGAAACTGTCGGGATTTCGACACAGACATAACAGACTCCTCTGCTGCATTAACAGGAGGCTTCCACCCAGTTAATTTCAAAACTTCCAGAAATGGTAAGATCCAGCTTGCTTTGAAGTTTACATCATGTGTTTTTGTACCTTCTGTGTTATTGGTGAACCTTCTGAGACAGACAGACAGAGGTGAAATCTGAGATTTGAACTGATGGCCGCTGTTCTTCTTTTTTTCAACCTGGGGTGAACGTGCTTGATTTCTTTACACAATACGGTTTCCATTAAAACAAAAGAGATTACATAAACTCAGGGAGGAGGAGGAGGAGGAAGATTCTGTTAAGTAAAAATGTCCATGATTTCATATGATTATGAGACAACCTTCTCCATTTGTACTAAACAAGGTCTCATTGGCAGACCTGTTTACCTTACACTGCTGTAATATCAACTTCCTTAGATAAGTTTTTAATAGATAAAATGTCCCTCTTTCTTTTCTATGTATCAGTTGTCATAGGAGAAATTTGTGGTATTGCTAAAGAAAAAAAAGAACCATATGGTACTGTAAATATGAAATAAAGTAGCCCTTTTCAACATGATATCCCAAGTATGTTGGACTAAAGACCCTGTCATCACAGCTAACACGATAAAGGAAAATGTAACCTAATATATCTGGAAGGCATCAAATTAGAAAAAGGCCAGCATACAGTAAATAACTTCAGACCAGTTCATTGCATCAGATTCAGATTCCATCTGGTGAAATGGAATCAAGTCCAGACAAAATGTCTGCCATGATCAATATGTTAGCATTTAAAGATTCTAAAGGACGCTGTGTCTGAGATATTATAACATATGAATTGGGTATTTTGGTATTTTATGAAACATATGCCTGAGTATGCTATTGGCATAAATTCTGTGAAATACATAAAGTTAACAGTTATATAATTGAATATTTAGTAGCTTGTTTAACTGATCAACGCAAAAGCTGCAGGTAAAACATCACCCTTTCTACACTTCGCTGTTTTATGGCAACACATTTATAATAAATATAGCCATAGCAGTAGTAATCAAGGTTCAGTTTTGATTTACTATTTAGGCAAGGTTTTTTTTTTCTGCAACTCATTACCAAGATGAAAATAGTTGTGGTTAATTTAATGTGTGCTTTCTTATTGTATTACATTTCCCTTTATTGAAAATGTTTACAGACTTATTAAACCTTTTCCTGCCTTCATTTTCAGATACCCCCCAGTTGCTCCACCCTTCAGTGCAGCCTGATCTAACTGCCAATGCCGGTGTCTATCGTGGCCCTATGTATGCCTTGCAAGATTCCTCTGACAAGATCCCCATGACCAACTCTCCATTGCTTGATCCACTCCCTAATCTCAAGATCAAAGTGTACAGTTCCTCCACAGCATCTTCCTCCACTGGGATGCATGAAGGAGCAGACCTGCTAGGAGCCATGACCACAGGCTCCTTCCCAGGAGACAGCCACAGGGAGAACCATTTCATGAACCTAAGAAACAAAAGTATGGGCTCCCAGCAGCTTCTGACTCTGCCTCGAGATCCTGGGAATAGTGCTACAGGGACATTTGGCTGCCTGGGAGGAAGGCTCATCATCCCTGGGACAGGTATGCCAGGGGGATACACTTTTCACAAGATGAAGTGGATGTCCAGTGAGGAAGCCACAGTCCAAGAGAATAGCAGAACAGGCTATTTCAGAATCATGAATTGATTTGGTTATGGGACATTAAGTTCCTCTGCCCGGTCACGTGTGACTCTAAGGAACAGTTGTCGTCTTTGTTTCCTAGCTGAAGGAGCCAAAGTTGTCCAAAAGATGCTTCTGTGGTCTTGTGGCTGGCATGACTATATGCCAAGGCACACGGAACCCTATTACCTTCCCACCAAAGTGGTACCTATTTATCTACTCACATTCGCATGCTAGGTTTGGCAGAAGCTGGGGCAAGAACAGGACATGCAGTAATTGGGTCTTGAACTGCCGACCTTCTGGTCAACAGCCCAATGTCTTAACCGCTAGACCACTGCAATCCCATTACTTTAAACCAGTGCCAATCCTCAACAAGTTTTCCAAAGGTGTACCCATTGCCAGTGTAAGAGAGTCCAGCCACTTTCCTCTTTTTTCCTTCCATCTTTCTCAGTGTTAGAGCCTTCTCTGGAGAACTAGGTTTTTGCATAATGTATCTGAAGTAAGATCATTTGACCTTAGTCATTTGTGTCTCTAATGAAAACTCTGATTTGATTTGTTTGTTGATCCATTTGTTTTCTTGGCTATCCACAGTATTCTTAGGAGTCTGCATGCATAAGACTTTGGCTTCTCTTCTCTTTTGTGCAGTTTCCACAGTTTATTCTGGCATCTAGTTTGACTTCTTCTATATCTTCATCTTTGGAGGACTGTTTTCATGTTCATCCTTAACAGCTTGTTTAAGCTCATTCCACCATTCCTCTTATTCCTTGTCAATGAGATTCCGGAGATTTGGGATTTCAGGATGATTCCTGGTAGTGTCCTTGAATTTCAGAACCATGGACAGCTCTAAATAGATAATACACTCCACTAAGGTCTCTGAGCCCAATTGAATCTTTACTATACCGGTAGTCCTTGACTAATTATAACCATTTGTTTAATGACTCTTCAAAGTTATAACAGTACTGAACAAAAGAGACATAACCATTTTTCACAATTAATGACCATTGCAGCATCCCCATGACCACGTGATCAAAATTCAGATGCTTGGCAACTGGTTCATATTTATGACAGCTGCAGTGTCCTGGGGTCATGTGATCAACTTTTGCAATCTTCTGACAAGCAAAGTCAACGGGGAAGCCAAATTCACTTAAGAAGCGTGTCACTAACGTAACAACTGCACTGATTCGCTTAACAGCTGTGGCAAAAAAAATGGGTTGTAAAATGAGGCAAAACTCACTTAACAAATGTTCCACCTAGCAGTGGAAATTTGGGGCTCCATTGTGGTTGTAAGTCAAGGGCTAGGTCTATTACTAGTATTCTTGGAAGTCTTACTTTGAATTACAGTTTCTTTTTCTGGAAATTGGCACTTTATTCTATTCTATTCTTGCTGACATTTGAAATCAAAGAGGTCTCCTGCTGTTCTAATCTAATGAACCTGTATCAAAAGCAGCAACTACTTTGGAATTCAGATATAAAACTCTCTCCCCCATATTGTAGCTCCCATCTTTTTTTAGGAGATGTGTAGTTCAGACTAGCCCGTTATTGACCTCAGACAGACACTGAGAATACAATTGTTGGGATTCATTGCAAAAAGTTCAGCAAAAGATCTTTGACTGCCAGACTGTTAAAAGTAGCTTCCTCCATTCCATGGACTTCCTTTCAAATACTGTAGATTGGAAAAACAAATGACCATGTAAACAGTTGAAATGCTATGATGACAATATTTATACCAGAGGCATCATTTTTAAAGATAATTAGGATAGTGTCTATAGTCACCATCAAAGATATAGCTACTAAAAGCATTGTTAAGCCATATTCATTTGTTCAGAACAATTAGACATAGTTCCCCATATAAAGGTGATAGCTAAAAAAAAAACCAGATTATGAACTTGCTTGGAGGCTTACTGGGGGCTACTGTGATCGTAGGATGGGTCAGTTGCAACTTATCCTGACTTCTTTCCTGCAGCCCAATTCAGGAGGGCAAACAGAGCCATCAGATATTAATTATGAAAAAACAGAAGTTAGGAGGGGCTGTATAAAGTATTCCATGGAATTCAGAATTGTATCATTTAGCTGTAGAGAAACAGACATAGTGACACTCTAGGAAATGTTCTTCATTATTTCATCTATTCCTTATTTTTTTCCTTTTGTAGGTGTGAGTCTGTTAGTGCCACATGGAGCAATTCCTCAGGGGAAGTTCTATGAAATGTATCTAATGATCAACAAAGCAGAAAATATTCTGTAAGTAGACCAGATCATGTATCTTGTCTTGCTTTTCACTCTGACCTCCCTAAGCCTAAATGTGATATCCAATTAAAGGATATCCAGCTAAGATTTCTTTTCATTATATTATTTTAGAACAGTCTTCCCCATCATCATACATGCATTTACCTTCAAATATTAGCATGCCAGACTAGATTCAATGCAATTTTCTTGCACATAAATCTCAATATTCAAAATTATCTTGCTCATTTCCAACTCCTAACAGAAGAAATTAAAAATGCAGATAATTTAATACCCTCACTAACTGATTACACCGTCCTTTGGCTATTAGACATATCCTGCTCCTTTATGCAACAGTCATAGTACTACTTCTAATTTCCAGCCAAGAACCGTAGCTACAGTTAGATTGCTTAACAACACCTTTTCCCAACTATGTATCTTCCAAATGTAATGAACCAACTCCCACAAAATGGCCTGGAGTTGATAACATACACATCTAAATGGAAAAAGCTACCAGCATCTTACTGAAATCATAGGATTCTGACTTTCTGAGTTGAGTTTAGGCTGACATTATGTATTTATTTGCATCCCACCTTTATAATTTTTACAAATAACTCAAGTAGCAAACATGTCCAATACACCTTCCTCCTATTTTTACAACAACAACCACCCTCTAGGCTGGGGTGGGCTAAGCATTATGTGGTCACGTGTATTCAGAAAATTAAGTCAGAAAAATGCTTGTGATGAAGAAAAGACAAACGAATCAGGACAAGGAAAAATAACAATTATTTATTCCCTTAAATATTGTGATAGTTCAAGAAAAAGAATACTTCATATTTTAAAAATAACAGAACGTTTACATTTGTTAACAGTTGTGAATTTCAGCAGCAAGGTTTGCATTAACTTCAGTACTCCACTCTGTCTTCTTCCTGCTAAAGAATATGAAGTTCCGTTTTCTCAGATACCCTTTTGCATTTCTAAGCAAGCAAAGTGCCACAGAGCCAACACAAGTGCCTTGTGCTTGTCTTTTCTAGCTTTCCCTCTGAAGGCACACAGACAGTACTGAGTCCTAGAGTGACCTGTGGTCCTACGGGGCTGCTCTTATGCCGCCCAGTCATCTTGACCATTCCACACTGTGCAGAGATCACTTCCCCAGACTGGATGTTGCAGTTGAAAACCCAGTCCCACCAAGGACACTGGGAGGTAAGTTGAATTAACCAAAGTAGTAGATGATGATGATGATGATATTGGAGTGAAGTCCAATATAGAAGAAGTTGTAGTCCCGGGTGTTCAATATATGTTGCTTATCGAAGCAGCATGGTGAAGACACTCATCTTCCACTTGGGAGGTTGAGAGTTCAATCCTCAATAGTGGCAGAGATTTCTCTCCTAGGGCACAAATAAAAAATAATATCTGCTGTGAACTCTGCAGGGCATCAGAAAGGGCATCCGGCCAGTAAATGCTCATCCCCATCCAGTTGCCTCAACTCTGCCTTGGATAATTAAGGGATTATAGGGAGAGTGTATGTTGCTCATCCATCTGTGGAGCAATTCAATTATTTGACAGAATAACAAGAGCTGGAAAGCACCTCTGCAGATCTTCTGGTCCAATCCCTTCTCATGTAGGAAACCCTATAGTATTTGATAATGAAGATTTATTTTTATTTATTTATTGACAATATGAGTTATTATGTAATGTAACTGTAATTGAGACTACGAAATGAATGCACAAAACTGATGAACCAACCGACACACTGTTTGTATATATATATGGAAGAGAGCTGATGTTTTTATGTTTTGTTTGTTTTGTTTGTTTTTAAAAAATCAATAAAATTGTTTTTTTTAAAAAAAAAAAGATTTATTTTCACATTGTAAAGCATTATTTTATAGTTATTTTTCAATCTTCAAATATCTATTTTTAATCATCTTTACTTCTTTTAAAAAAAGCCTCCTTAGTATTTAGCAATTTTATTTCTAATTCTAGGTCCCCTGTTTACTTATGAAGAAAACGGCCCTCTTCTGCCTCAGCCAGCATGGTCAATATTCAAGGATGAAAGTGATTGTAATCAGGGGTGGGCTTCCAAAATTTTAGCAAAGGGTTCTCTACCCGGTTGCTGGGTGGGTGTGACCATGGTGGATGTGGCCTAGACGGACTCCTGCACCACAGCAGGAGGGGGGCGTTTCCTCGAGCCTCAGGAGGGTGAAAGTGGCCTCCCCGGACTCCGGAGGCTCTCTGGAAGCTGGAAACGGGCCCATTTCCTGCCTTCCTGAGGCCCGTTTTTTGCCCTCCCCGAGTCTCCACACACGCCCTGCACTTACCTGCATCCAAAATGGGCCACGTGGAGACTCCTGGGAGGGATGGGCGGGGCCAGTCAGGGGTGGGATTTGGGGGTTCTCTGAAGCTAAGGGCTCTCCCGAACCCCTGCGAACCTCCAGCAGCCCACCCCTGATTGTAATCCTACCACATCTGGGGAAGCAAACTCAGAAAAAAAACAGCATTTCTATTCTACACGACAGTATTCAGTGAGGCTAGAAAGTGTAATATTGTGTAATAGCATTAAAAGCAATGTACTTAGTAATATTAATACTTCCTGGTACAGCAGGTCAACTCAAAATTTATGTAAGAATGATGGAAACTCCTACATAACCCTTCAAAACATTAGAGACCAACCACATTTTGCAAAGTGAGTTTAATCAACTGCAGTCTCCAAAATATAGAACATGTCAATCAACGAAGTGTCTTAACTCCAAAATTAAGTTTTAACCTTAGCTTTCCGTATCGCATTGAGTCATTTCTATTTTTAAAGTACACAACTTGTACAGCTCTCATAATTGGGGAGGCAAATTTTTAAGAAGGCACTCCTTAAAATGGGCATCCAGGTGGAACTGACTACATTTTAAATCCTTCCTTACCCCCTTACCTTCCTCCAGGAAGTTGTGACGCTAGATGAAGAGACTTTAAACACACCTTGTTACTGCCAGCTGGAACCCAAGTGCTGCCATATCCTGCTAGAACAGCTTGGAACATACGTCCTTGTGGGAGAATCCTATTCTAGGTCGGCCATCAAGAGACTGCAGCTGGCCATCTTTGCTCCCACCCTCTGTACCTCATTGGAATACAGCCTCAAAGTATATTGCTTGGAGGACACACCTGATGCTTTAAAGGTAACACATAGCTGAGGTTCTTCCTTCTTTCCCCTTCCCTGTCCTCTGTCCTATCAGTAAATAGTTCCTACTCTTTTTGCACATACACACTTACACAAGCAGATTAATGTAAATTTCAACATGGCCTCCTCCATCTGGGGGTTCTCCCGATGTATTGGATTGTAATTACAGACTTTCTAATCCATTGCCTAACCTGGCTGGGTGCGATATGAATTTTATGACAACTCACCTAGAGGACAGTGAGTTGTGGAAAGTGGTTGCATAACATATTTGTGATCCTATTAAGAAAATCCTCAGACCATAGAGGGCATTTTTCGTTCATGACACTGAACGATGAGTTGTTGTGATGAGGGCTGTGCAAAGTGAGGTTTGGTCCCTATGGCTTTAACAGAGCCTTGACATATGTGTAAATTAAAAGGGGGAGAAAAATCACAGATGTGTCTCATATGGTTTTGTGAATCACACCAGCAATGGTGTAATTGGAATGGTGCTTTAATCATCTTTGCCTTGGCTTATCCTCCAATATTCAGTTCAATGGGAGCCAGGCAATAATGTTGCAGAAGTTGAAATGTGAGATGCCTACAAGATCAACACAAAGTTTTACCAACTAAACTATTTTCCATTGGTGTATCTATGAGGCACGGTGGCTCAATGGCTTAATGACGATGGAGATGGTCTCATCTCTGGTGGTTTGAGTCCAAGCAAGTGGGTGGTGGGGTGAGCTCCCATCACTTGCCTTCAGCTTATGCGAGTAGATAAAATAGGTACCACTTCGGTGGGGAGACAAGATGTGCTGTGTGCAGGCAGTCAGATTCCTGATGGCTCTGAACATTTTCAGTTGTGGTGCCATTTGTAAGGCAGCTCCTGGAAAGGTGGAATCCTTGGGTAAAGCTGAAGGAAAAGTCACTCATCTTTTTCTCTGATGTAAAGCCAGCTTGCCCTCCTGTGGCACATCTTTGGAAGAGCGCATTTCCTATAACAGAGTTGGTACCTTGGCAAGCCAAACTAGTACTCAGCAATAGCATTGTGATCTTTTGGCTACTGTGACAGTGCCATACACTAATAATAATAACTTGTATATCTATGTTTGTCCTTCAATGAAAGAAATAGAGGTGGATATCATTATTAGAGCTTTCATACCAATTCAGACCCAGAAGTCTTCAAAACTTCCTCAATCTATTGTCATTCTTCGCTTCCCTGAAGTCATCCCAATCTGTATGGCCAATGAACAAGGATTAGGTCATACATTTATAATGGAGGAGGTAGACAGTATTAGATCTGGGAAATTTAGCATAAAACTTCATTTAAATTTACATCAAATAATACAAATAGATTTATGTCTGAACCACCCCGACCACCTGAAATGCATAAGAATCTAAGTTCCTAATAAGTGTTCCAAAATTTTTTCTGTATTTTTATTAGGACTGGAGAAGGGGACAGTGTGTTCCCATAAACTAAAGATTAGTTCATCATGCTTATAAGTTGCTGGATTTCTCTACCTATGTTTGGTAATTCTTGTGTTCCATAGAAATGTGTGTTGAGTTTGCATAATGTTACATATGCAAACAATTGACATGGTTATCATCAAAAGATGAGCCATTTTTGAATCCTCATCTTTAAACACCTGCGTTTTATAGAAACACTTTTGTCTCTGTTTCCTACTTCTATACTGTTAAATTTCCCATATATTTTAAAAAGCTATAATAACTTATTCAAAAAAAAATATGGTTGCTTAGTACCATGTTTCCCCCAAAATAAGACCCTGTCTTGTAATTTTTTGCCACCAAAAAGGCACCGGGCCAAGTCTTATTTTCGGGGGATATCATCCATTGACTAACCTCACTTGTATGCGTTGCCCCCGGCCTCCTTTTTTGCTGTCAGAGGCCTTCAGGAACTTCTTCTGCAGCCAGCAAGTCTTTCCTGAAGGCCTCTGCAGTGGATAACAGAGCTCCGGATCGATCCGGAACTTTCTTATCAGCTACAGAGGCCTTCAGGGAAGCTTTGCCAGCCTTGCCAGCTGCAGAAGAAATGGGCTGGCAAGGCAGGTGTCAGGGAGTGCAGGCCTGGCTACAACTATCCAAAGATAAGTAGTAGGGCAGCTCCACACACCCCCGTCCCCACCCTAGTTTAATTTTTACCCGTGCACTTTGGAGTGGCCGAGATCTTAATTAGGGCTTATTTTGGGGGGTAGGGCTTATATTGGGCGCACGTGAAAAAAATCAAGCTAGGACTTACTTTCAGGGTAGGTCGTATTTTTTGGGGAAACAGAGTATTTCTTGTCCAGCTCTCTCGTTTGTACTTATTTTGGACTTCTCTGCCCCAAAGAGGGCTTGCTGGTAATCCAAGCATGCGATGTGACTTATAAAAGTAGTTACTCAGGGGAGCAAAACAGCCTGATGCAATGACTTGAAAAGTGACCCAGAGTTTAGATTCAAATAATAAGTTCCTTGAACCCATTCCTTAGGGAGCAGCCCTGACATTTTCCATGAAGCTCCCAGGAGGAGAAAGAGAGTATTGCAGAAACTATTTTGTGTCCTATTTTGAAGATATAATAATAAGTCATTATTAGCTTTTTAATAGGTTTTGAATGGCAAATACATTTTTCCTATTATTACTAATGTAGATAATGTGTAGACCACTGTCTAAGACAAGGGTCTCCAACCTTGCAATCCCCCCTGGTTGGGGGATTCTGGGAGTTGAAGTCCGCCAGGCTTAAAGTTGCCAAGGTTGGAGACCCCTGGTCTAATATACATATGAAGATGAAAGAAAGGAAAACAAAAGCATCCCAACCTAGACTGAATGGTGCTCTAGTCACGTATTGTAACTCCTAACCTGGATATGAATATCTTGGAATATTGTTTTGTCAAACCGCTGACAACCTCAGGGAGATGGGGAAAGGGAAAAGTTACTACTTTGCTCTTTTGTTGCTGCAGCCATAAGCACTATAATTTTCCTTGACCACTTGTCCCCATTGCCCCTAACACAGCCTGTGTGGTGCAGTGGTTAGAGTGCAGTACTGCAGGCTACTTCTGCTGCAGCCAGCTGCTTACAATATGGCAGTTCAAATCCCATCAGGCTTCAGGTTGACTCAGCCATCCATCCTTCCGAGGTGGGTAAAATGAGGACCCAAATTGTTGGGGGCAATAGGCTGACTCTGTAAACCGCTGACAGAGGGCTGTAAAACCGCTATAAAGTGGTATATAAGTCTAAGTGCTATTGCTGTCACCATGTACAAATTATAATTTGTATCCAATTTATTCCGACAACCTAGAAGATTCACCTAATGGCTTTATCTTAGGCGTATCCCTAAAATTCTGCCCAGGAGGCTTATAGCAAAGATAAGGATAAGTCTAGGACTTCTCTACACCAATCATTAACCTCTTCAACCAAATTGAGAAAGGGGATTAGTTTTCCTCTTTTGACATATTTCTTAAGTCATCAGAGTCGTAGAAGAGAGCTGAAAATCACATTATTCCATTGCCTTTCTCTTAAGATAAGAACCTATCATAATCTATATAGCATACAGGTAGTTCTCAACTTACAGCAGTTCATTTAGTGACCGTTCCAAGTTGCAGTGGCACTGAAAACAGTGACATATGACAATTTTTCACACTTACCACCATTGCAGCCTCCCCATGGTCACATGATCAAAATTCAGGCGCTTGGCAACTGGTTCATATTTATGACGGTTGCAGGGTCCCAGGATCATGTGATTACCTTTTGCGAACTTCTGACATCAGGACCAAAACATCAGACCAAATGCTCGAATGCAAGGGTCTTCAAACTTGGCAAGTTTAAGACTTGTGGACTTCAACTCCCAGAATTCCCCAGCTAACATGACTGGAGGAGGTATTATGGGAGTTGAAGTCCACAAGTCTTAAAGCTGTCAAGTTTGAAGACCCCTGGCAATTTTGGATGTAGTAAACTGTATATCTGATTGTATCTATTCAGGAAGGCTGAACTCACTATATATGATGACCTTTCAGGTCTACTTTAATTCCCTACTTCTCAGGGTTCAAGAGAAATCCAAAAAACAAGTCATAATCCCTGTGTAACTTGGTAGATAACCACTTAATGGCGGGTCGAGCACATTCTTGGCCTGCAAAAGTCACATCAGTCTTTGGATAAAAGTTGTCAAATTGTAAGAAGGGGAACAAGTCAGTAGCCTGACCTGCTTGAGGGCTGCTGCCAGTCTGTCTTGATTTGACCAGGTTCTGGTCTAAATATGGGACTTTTCTCCATAAGGTCTTCATCTAATTAAGGTAATGGCATCATTTATCATTTTAACATCCCCTTCCAACTTCCAATGTCAAGAGGTGATTTGGAGACTATGGAACCAAGGAACATGCATGCTGATTTGATCCAGCCTGCCCTTGATAGCAAGTCACAAGTGAAACAAATCCAGAATAGGTTTTCTTGTGGGTTTTTTTTATAGCCAAGCTCCCTTTGTGATCTAAGCGTAAAGGCCAGTTATGAAGATACCACAAGAAACTGCTTAGCTGCTGTTCCTCTGAAAATACCTATTGTCAAGTTATTTTCAAAGCCTATCAATAACGTTAGCACCACTTTGCATGCCTAATGAAAGTGACCCATCATTCTTAATGAAGTATAAATCTCCATCTGCCTTTTTACCAACCAGAGTGATTAGTTCCAGCAATCAACACACCAAGCTGGTATTTCAGGCCTTATTGTGTTGTGCGTTTTAACCTTGATGTCACAATTGGCATTCAACCTCCCCACTCCCATCCCAACCCCCAAGTTAAAATAGCTTTTTTTAAAAAAGGACTCTGGAAATTATCTTTTTCCATTTTTAAGAAAGGACATGGCTCAAGAAATTGAAGGTTGTAATGGTATATACAAGAGTGGAGGTGAATGCTTTCAGGTGGTGAGCTCTACCTGATCATTCCTCAAATAAAGTTTGATCAGCATAACATTGTGAAGGTTGCAAATATAATATGGGTGCTTACATTATTGTTGTTTTCATTAGTTCTAGGTAAGGGAGAAACCTGCATTATGAAGAAGATGATGTAAATGAGCTGAAATAAATAAGTCATAATGAGATTATTGATGTTCCCAAGTGATTGATTGGTTTGAATTATGGCATGGGAGGGCATAGTGTACTATTATAGCTGGATGGGATTAAGTTAAATTTAGCATCTGCACTTTCGACAATCTTTAGAGCAGAGGTCTTCAAACTTGGCAACTTTAAAACTTATGGACCAACTCCCAGAATTCCACATTGCTGGCTGGAGAACTCTGGGAGTTGAAGTCCAGAAGTTTTAAAGTTGCCATGTTTGGCCTACTGAGGAATTCTGGAAGTAGAAGTCCACAAGTTTTAAAGTTGCCAAATTTGGAGAGCCCTGCTTTAGAGCATTAGAGAAGGTTGCCAAGTATGAGGTGATACCTGGTGCCCAAGATAGGCAAAATCAGGTACTCTTAGAGAGAGAGAGAGACCTTGCTGTTAACTTGGTCAAACGTTTATTGACTTATTCAAAGAGATAGCAAGATACATTTTGTAGACTGCTGGAAATTCATGTGGATCAAACACTCCAACAGCATGGAAACTCAAACTGGAACCTGGAAATACAAATAGTCATGTAAGTCAGCCCTCTTCAACCTGGCATCTTCTGTCTCAGTTGGAACAGGAATTCCCAAACTTTGAAGGTTAAATTGGCCTTTTTAGCCAGAAGTTCTGAGAACTGCATATCTGAAAGATGCCTCTGTGGAAGGCTATTACAGGGTATATTTATACACCAGTTGTCATGAACTGCAGTCCATTTCATGTTCTTTCTCTGTCTCACCTATTTTATATCCCTTTCCCAATTAAATTGCTTTCTTTTTACTTTTTGGTGCTTTTTGCTTTTGTTTTGCTTGTCCCATAGGAAGTGCTTGAAATCGAAAGGACTCTCGGCGGCTATCTATTAGAAGAGCCAAAGCCTCTGCTGTTTAAGGACAGTTATCACAATTTGCGCCTCTCGGTTCATGACATCCCTCATTCTCTTTGGAGGAGCAAACTCCTAGCCAAATATCAGGTGAGAGCTTTACCTATCAGTTGAACAACAGACGTAAGAGTGATTCCCTAGGGCCTCCTTTGACATCAACCTTTCTGATGGGTTTGCAAAATCTGCCCACTGCTCCAAAAAGACATTCATTGACACATTTAGTTTCCCAAGGTGATTCATGTGAGTCTTGTAATAGATGGTTGCAGGCAAATAAACACTCAGAAAGCCAGTTGAAATCTCCTTCATCATTAGAAAAAAGACTTGTCTCCGTGGTGCGTCATAGGAAGGATGTCAGAAAAACTGGAAATATCTTGGATTTAAGCGGGAAAGAATTGCTGAGATTCTCATAACCTCTTCCCATTCATCTCCAACAATTTTGCTGAAAACAATCTGTGAGACTCATGCTTGGAAAAGAAGCAGCGTTCCAATATCTCAGGGGCTGCCCCAAAGAAGAGGGAGTCCAGATAGTCTCCAAAGCACCTGAAGGCAGGACAAGAAGCAACAGACGGGAACTAAACAAGGAGAGAAACAACCTAGAACTAAGGAGAAATTTCTTGACAGTGAGAACAATTAGCCAGTGGAACAACTTGCCTCCAGAACTTGTGGATGCTCCAACATTGGAGGTTTTTAAGAAGAGATTGGAGAACCATTAGTCTGAAATTATATAGAGTTCCTTGCTAAAGCAGGGGGTCGGACTGGAAAACTTCTAAGGTCCCTTCCAATTCTGTTATTCGCTTTCAGTTTTAGGCACTGTCAAAGTTCCTGACAAGTTTTTACCTTGCACATTGGCAAGATTAGAAATATATATTTGCTAACTATCTCAGAAGACTTCAACTGACATGCCTGCCACATGCTTTCCTTCCTCATATATTTCACCTTGTCCCTTTGCTTCTCCATTCTCCCATACAACTAAGATTCATGTTCTATAATTACTTGAAAGGAAGACATGTGTAGGGATATAAGTGTCCCATCCCAATGCCCTATAAACACAATCAAGAGTGTGCCACGGCGAGCTTCTTCATCTTGTAAAGCTGGATTGTGAATTCCAGCTGAATCCAATCTGGAAATTTCTCCTTCCTCTGTAGCTCAGAGCAACCCAATTGACTTATAGCAAACGCTTACCTAATTCAACAGTGTTTTCCACAGTGACCACTGTCAGTTATCACCGGGGAGCCCACAAATAAGCAATCACTTAGCATTCAATAAACAATACAGAGCCCGTCAATCAAACTACCATTTAAAGACTACACCAGGGGTTCCTCAAACTTAACAACTTTAAGACTGAGGAATTCTGGGAGTTGACGTCCACAAGTCTTAAAGTTGCTAAGTTTGGAGACCTCTGTTCTACACCTTGTTCTTTTCTTCTGCTTGCCTGGAATTTGATATGAAGAGAAAGTACACAGGATTGTTTTTGTTTAGGTTGTTGTTGCTTTTTAAAGGATCAATCTGCAAATTTCCAGACTGGTGACATCTTGTGGCACTTGTTTGTTCATCTTTTCTTTTTCTTTTCTATTTCCTTCAGGAAATCCCTTTCTATCACATTTGGAGTGGTAGTCAGCGGGCATTACACTGCACCTTCAGCCTTGAGAGATACAGCCCGGCTACTACAGAACTCACTTGCAAAATCTGTGTTCGGCAAGTTGAAGGAGAAGGGCAGATATTCCAGTTACATGTTACACTTGGAGAGGTAAGCAAGGAAAACTCGGATAAGAAAAGCAAATTGAATGCATGAATGAATGAATGAATGAATGAGACAAAAGGAACAGGATTATTCAATAATGGGCGTAATAGTTTATCTGAAACATTATATTGGCCAGATACAATCGGTGAAACGTAGGCTAATGTTCATGTTAGGTTCTTCTAATGCAGCGGTTCTCAACCTTAATAATTTTAAGATGAATGGACTTCAAGTCCCAGAATTCCTTAGTCTGCATTCTGGTTGGGGAATTCTGGGAGTTTAAGTCCACACATCTTAAATTTACCAACATTGAGAAACACTGCTCTAATGTTTAATTTCAGCCATGACTCACTTCTACTTCTGCTGTTCCAAATGTCATTACTATTATATGGACATTTTTAAAAAAAATCGTATTTCTTATTGTCTGCTAACATCTCTGATACATCCATCTCTATTCTACTGAATATTAACAATACAACCTTTTATTTCATGCAACTTTTTCTGCCTGTGTATCTGGCTCACATAACCTGCTGGAAATTTAAAATATCAATTTCAGTGTTTTTATTTTAATTCTGGACAAACTGTTATTGCTGAAACTTTTTCGGAAAGCTGAAGAACCAAGAAGAGAGTAATAATTATTTAAATCTCAGCCCTGAGGCCTTCCTTTACTTCTGAGATCATGGGTGTTTAGCCAGTTACATACAGATTTGTATTTCCTATTAAAGTTGTGGTAGGAAGTGCATTATCCAAAACATTTCAAAACCAACCAACCTCCCTTCCCCTGCAGACTAATTTAAGATTCCTGTCCTAATCTCGAAGACCCATTATAGTTCAGCTATGCGTGGCATTATTAGATAGCTGTTTCCTTCTGCAGTCACTGAGGCAAGATAATTTGATGAGGCTATGAAGATCACCATTTATTTTTAAGACATGATACCCTTCGCGTACCTATTATTTTGATTTTTAGCATTTAGTAGTTTTCCTAGTGCATTTTACTGACTGCTTTCCACCCCTCAAATGCTTCTGACTTTGTTTGCCTAGTACATGGCAAACAAACAAAAAAAAAATTCAAAGTTTTATTCTGTGGCAGAAGCAAAGACACAGCTAGTATAGTTAAAAGGGTGTGTTGTATTGGCAAATATTTAACAACCAATTCTGCTGGCTTCATTGCTACTGCAAGCCACCAAACAGCTGATCAGCACCCTGGGCATCCTGGCTCAGTTTTGCTCTGAACAGAATTCCAAAATTCCAGAAAATGTAACCATTAACGCTTACAAGCCAGTACAAGCCAGCTCCAATACTATTGTGTATAGACTACAACGAAACAAGATGAGAACATTTTCACACATGAAGCTGATATGGGCCTTTAAATTTTCTTGAGTTACTTCTCTAGAAGTTTGTCAATTGTTTCAGTGACTAAAAACCAAAACAGAAGCATTTGTTGTATGCACGTATGTATATATGCCACATATATATATATATGCAAATGCGGTATGTGGTTTCTGTTGATAGAAAATCTTTCAATATCCATCTTGAAAGTGCCAGAAAGCAGACCAATTGTGACCTGAGAATTTTGTTTGCTTTTTCTAGCACATGTTATAAATCATGGTTGTCATTGATCTTGCCAAGGTTATGAGACAGTTTGGGATCCATAAATGATAAGAGGGAGCTCATCACGTTTTTAAAAATTGCCATCTTTATCCAATTAATCACTGAGCCTGCATCCCATTTTGTTTTGTTATAAGAACGCCGGTTCCTTTTACATAATAATATATACTAGCCATTTTCATAAAAACAAACTTATCTAATTAACAAAATCCAAAGTCAGAGGTTTTTTTTCCCCCCACCTCAAGCACTAAGTCCAGAAACAGTTTCCAAGTGGAAACAAAGTTATCTATATTCTTTTCTTTAATTAAAGCAGTCAATTTAGCCATCTCTGCTAACTTCATTAGCTTTTGCAACCAGTCACCCATTGTAGGAATTAAAATATCTTTCCATTTTGTGCAGAGAGCTATATAAAAATTAAAAAATTGAGACTGTGTGTTATTATCTTATTCTGCTGCCCTAAAAAGAGTCAGAAGTCAATGCTTTTCTTTCTTTTTTCCAGTTTTCCCCTATACTTTTTCCTCTTCCCATTTTCCTCCCTTACTTTCCCATTATTTTCATTTTTTCTTTGTGTGTTTTGTATTTTGGTAAACTAATAAAACTTTAACATTTCAAAGAACTCCAGCTCCTTTGATGCCTTGCGGTCCCACACTGGTGGTGCCATGACAACCCAGCTTGGACCACATGCCTTCAAGATTCCTCTGTCCATACGGCAGAAAATCTGCAACAGTCTTGATGCTCCTAACTCCAGAGGGAATGACTGGCGGCTCCTTGCCCAAAAGCTTTCTGTGGATCGGTGAGTTTTACTTCAATGCTTTCATTGCCCCACAGGAATGAAACCAGCCAAGGAAGATGGTTAACTTGCATATCAGTATTCATTGAAGTTGTTCGGTCATTTAAGCCCCTGACCTGTAGTGGCACTGTTGAGAACCAATTCATTTAGATGCCAACATTTGGCTTAATGATACGATGTGATGAATAGCTTAGGTGCCACCTACATTGCTTTTACCCATTTTGTCAATATCAGAATTCCTGCCTACAATACTAAAGAGACATATGAAGCTGCTTAGTGGAGTTTTACCAGTAGGCCAAGACCCAAAGGTGGTTTCCAAAAAAGCAAATGGACTTCTTGGATGAGAAGCAAAATGTCTTCAAGAAAAAACAAAGCCCAGTTGCCTTTTGAAAAACTACCTTTGGGACAACCATGACCTGGATGACTAAGAATCTCCATAAACATTTAGTAGGCCAAGAAGTGATGGCCAATGTAACCACTTTGATTAGAACCAGAGATACAAATGGATGCAACTTTGATGATGTTCTGAGGGTGTTTGAATACCTGGGCATTCTCCCTGGGCTTGGAATTATAAGCACCTGTAGGCTCCTTTTTCTCTTGATATATATGGTTGTTTCTCATGGATGTACAGCTTCTATATTTCTGTTTCATTTTTCCCTCCTTTTTTAAAGTGTAGGCTGACCAGAGGTATCTGGGATAAGCCAGTCTCTAAGTTATAAATAGAGCTACTACAAAGGCAGGAAAAAAGTAGATTAAGTTCAACAGTCCTGTTTGAACAAGATTATCTGTGTTTAATCTTCAAAGCCTGTTCTTAAAACTATAAGGTTCTAAACAGTTCACATCCAGATTATCTGTGATGATACCTCTTTCAATACTTATCAACCTGGATCTGCCACAACATCAAAAAAGGGCCTCTTGTATGGTTCAGCAAATAGCTGCCAGGTTGGGTAATAATCTTCTCGGCAATGGAATATCCTTTCCAGAATATTCACCTGAAGCCTACACTGTAGTATTTTTAGCCTCAAATAAACATTTTTTTTAATTCATCCAAATGTTTCAGGAACATTTTAAAGTCAATTTGGAGATCATCAGGGATTTCTTATTCTTTTTTAAATTGTTGGTTGAATTTTATTCAATTGTTCTATAGTTGAACAGTTGTAAAAAGTGATGTACAGTTGCCAGTGGTGGTGGGATTCAAAATATTTTACTACCGGTTCTGTGGACGTGACTTGGTGGGCATGGCTTGGTGGGCATGGCAGGGGAAGGATATTGCAAAATCCCATTCCCACCCCACCCCACTAACCTGCTTTCCAGTTCCATTCTCCTGTGCAGGGCAACAAAAGAAGACCCAGCCAATCAGCTGGGACTCGGGAGGCAGAGAATAGATGGGGGCGGGGCCAGTCAGAGGTGTCATTTGCCGGTTCTCCAAACTACTCAAAATTTCCGCTACCGGTTCTCCAGAACTGGTCAGAACCTGCTGAATACCACCTCTGGCAGTTGTAATGGAAGTTTTAAAGCCATTGCCATTTATGGATTTCACGTTTTATACTTTACAAACTAGAACAGAAACCTACTGGAGGTACAGAATGAAAATACACTTCTACAGAATAAAATCTCTTCTCAGAGAATTTAAGAGTAGTAGAATTGGGCAGAAGCACTATATAACATTCTTACCCCATTTTGCATTCTTCATATTATTCTGGCTTTAAATATTTATTTTGTCAGCCTGCCTGTAATAATAAAAGGAAAAAAATAGGAACTTAAACATAGAAATTGGTTAATAAATTAGCTGAGCTCATAAGGTGTATGAATGCATTTACCTTTGGTTGCCCTTTCTTTACTTAACTTTTGTTGTTTTTGTTATTTTATTTTTATAATATGATTTTTTTTGCTGTATCAGTCATCAGAGTTGGTTTGTGAGATAGATGGCTAGATTAAGTTTCATCACCAGCCCAAAGTTACAATTACTTGGAAATAAATACTACTGAATTTTAAAGCTGTTTATTTGTGTTATTGGGCTGTGCTGTCAGTTGAACGTTTACCTGGAGTCTTGGATGTATATGAAGAACTATTTCATATGTTCCTTGAAATAATGTTTATAAATCCTAAAGGCAGTATGATGCAGTTGTTATGTTTTAGACCAGGAAGTTGATTTATTGACAGGGGATGCTTAAATAAAACATTTCATCCCCATTATTTTTTCTTCGTCCTTAATATTTTTATTTTATAGTCTCATATTTTTCTCCGCTAGCCTTCTTACAAAAACCACTCTGGTCCTGAAAATAATTACGCTTTCAGGGTTCTGATTTCATGGCGGTATGGATTTAATTAGGATGCTAGTCTATTTATGTGAACAGTGGCTTCAGAACAGAATACTTCAATAACTGATGTTGATGGTGAAGGTAGTAAGCTCTCCTCCTCTCTATCTTATTTAGGTACCTAAATTTCTTTGCCACCAAAGCCAGCCCGACTGGGGTGATCCTGGACTTATGGGAAGCCCAACATCAAGACGATGGAGATCTTAACACTCTGGCCAGTGCCTTGGAAGAGATGGGCAAGAGTGAGATGCTGGTTGTCATGGCAACAGAAGGAGAGTGTTGATGCAACTGCTGGAGACTTCCAGCCACGTTGAGGATTGAGTAAGAGAGGGACAGGAAGAAAAAATAACTTAAAAGAGAGAAAAAAAGCTCTTTGGAACCAGTGGGAAACAGTTGCAAAGAAGGAGCAGAGCCAAGGCGCTGAAGGATTCAACTCAGGTTTCTTCTCCTTCTCATACTCCTCCCTCATGAAATCACAATCAGCCTTAGAAATTGCGGAGTTTACAAGCAATCCAAGTGTTAAAGACTCCTTCCTCCTATTCCTCACAGCCTTTGGATTACAGCTTGAAAGCAATGCATCATTGCTAACGGTGACCACAGCCTCAGGCGGCAGTGTCTTCTTCAAATCTCTGTTGTCTCTGTGGCTTATTATGAGGGCTGCTGGAATCTGGGCTGTTAATTTGTTTGGTTCTTTGTTGATCTCTTCTCGACTTTCTCTTTTCCCATTTCCTACTTTGCTCTTATTTCTTCTTTTCTGGCATTTATGCTTTGAAGAGTTGAGTACAATTTAGTGAAGACAACTCCTGTCAGAAGCCTCAGACAGCTTAAAATACACATGCTTACAAGGGAAAATAAATGGAAATCCGTTTCTTAGGAAACGCAAGTAAATGTATTATCCAGATCTTTGGATGCATCCTTTTTTTAAAATATATATATATATATAAATATATATTAAGAATCTTTCATCTATGTGAGAGCAAGAATATCTTGGCACTCAAAGAGAAAGAGAAAGAGAGAAAGAGAGAGAATTCTGGCGGTAAATTTTAAAATGGTCAATGTATGTCTGGGGTGTCAAACTGGCGGCCCGTGGGACAAATGCATCACGCGCAGGCCACGCCCACCCCACCTCCACAAATGGGGAAAATGCCGTGAAACATCACGTGATGGCAACATGATGCGGTGAGTTTGACATCCATGATATATGTGATCATCTTTGAAGCTTGGTGGGGTAGGATTGTTGATAGGATTAGAGAAAAAATGAGGGTCTAAAACAGGGGTCCCCAAACTTGGCAACTTGAAGACTTATGGACTTCAACTCCCAGAATTCTCCAGCCAGCTATGCTGGCTGGAGAATTCTGGCAGTTGAAGTACACAAGTCTTCAAGTTGCCAGGTTTGGAGACCTCTGGTCTAAAAGGACAAATTGTGTCCTTTTTCACATGGTGTTTAAGTTTTTTATTATTATTATTATTATAGTTCACCATAGTAACAAGATTGCCAGAGTGTGGGGGGAAAAGCTAACAACCCATTCATAGCATAACAAACTGACTTCTGAAAATGTAGCTGTAATGTGGGGCCAGATGTAAAGGCCTATAAGAATGAGACATTTTGAAGTAGACAGATTTGGAAGGTTTTTTTTTTTCGAGCTTTCCGATAAGACCAACACATTTTTGTATTCTTCCCAGCCCTCAAAACAAATATAATCTTATTTCGGTTATGTCTTGAGTCACTGCCTGCTTTGTGGCATTTATTTTCCTCTGAATTCAGTTCTTTTGGTGGTCCAACTGGAATAACACTCTGGCTAGTATCACAGTAGCTCCATTAAATTTGTCTAAAAGCATTTTATATTGTATGGGCTTTATAGCATCCATTCTATAGGGGAGCTAAAATTCAATTGTCCTTGATATACAGTGGTCCCTCGGAATTTGACTGCTTCAAAATTTGGTACGCGATGCATTTTGATGCAAAAACAACGTTGCCCCTGTACTCGTAGTTTCTTTGGTATTTGGTGTATTGCAAAAGGAAGAGTGGGGAGAGCCGCAGAGAGCAAACAAGAAGTCAGCCATGCTGGGAAGGTAGCTGATATAGGAAAAAGGACAGACAGAAAATTCTTCCCAGACAAAACAAAGGGGCATGTGATAAATCAACTGGTTTCTTTGGCACTCATAGTTCTTAGTACACATTGTACTTCCTGGAACCAACTGATGTCAAAAAGCAAGGTACAACTGTATAGGTATAGGCTACAAATATGGTTTTCTCAGCTGTGTTCTGAAGCTCTTTTTAACTGCAGCTATGTCAAAAGAGAATGATAGAAACCTTAAAGGTGAAAGTATTTTTGCAGTCTTATGTCTGAATGATTCGGGGATAAGTTGAACTATTTAAAGAGGCCTGTCCTAACACATTCCATCATAGCCCAATGTTCTGTATGAGAATACGCTCCCATAGAATAACAAGAGTTAGAAGGGGCTTCTAGTCCAACCCCTGCTCAAGCCTTATACCATTTCAGACAAGTGGTTGTCCAATCTCCCTCCAGTCTCTCCGATCTCCAGAAAGTTGATAAAACTGCTCACATACAAAGCAGCTTATTTGGATAGAACGTGTGCAAAAAGGGCAAATGGTAAAGCTATCCATTTAAAATGAAAGCTCTTTGGAATGCATTTTGGATATTGAGAGAAAGGTAGTACTGGGTGCATCTGAACTTTTAGGCAGAATCTGATCATTATCAGGGACATACCTTTCCTCTTCTGTTGTTAGACTGTTTGCTGACTGAAGGATTTGCAAATACTTCAGATAGCATCCTTTGTATCATGTGAAGTTGATGCTTTTAGGATTTTTTTTTTACATGACTTTATCCTGTATTGAGATCTGTTGAGGTATGAAGATTGCTGCGGGAATGTCAACTCCGTAGCAAATGGGTGTGTGGAATTTATTCCCAGTAGCTAAAATGAACCATGATACACCTTTTGAAGAGGGTTAGGTTTTAGCCACTGAAGTAAACGATGGGAGCACTGAGGAATCAATGCAAAAGTGTCTTTTGTGGTGATTTTTATAAGGTGCTTCTGAAAAGTAGCATGCAAGTAAAACAGCCCCTAATTTGCTTTTATTCCCAGTTACTGTTACTGAGAAATAATCCTTTGACTCAGAACACAACGCAGGTAACCCTCGATTTATAAGTACAATTGAGATCAGAATTTCCACAACAACTGCTAAGCAAGGCAGTTGTTGAAGTAAGCTACAACCACTTTTATGACTTGTTCAGTGAATCTGGCTCCCTGCTTATTGACTTGACTTGTCAGAAGCCAACTGGGTAGGTGGCAAATACATGCCAATCACTAAGCACCCACATTTTAATCACATATCTGTGGGCAGGCAGCATATAAGTGTGAGATCATAAGTCACTATTTTTCAGTGCCATTGTAACTTTGAATGAACTTCTAAAATGAATGGTTGTAAGTCAAGGACTACCTATATATGGGGAAACGTGACTGCTTCTCCCTGGCGTGCACTGAACCTGGCTGTTTTTCCACTTGCGATTTAAAGTGTTTTCATAGCATCACTCAGCCAAATGCTATCAAGCCTGTCTTCATGACTGTTGTTTTGGCACAAGAAGAAGGGTTGGATGATGCTAGAAAACGCTACAAGATGGTCATGAGGAAGGACTTCTATACGCAACCATGTGAATGCAAGGCATTAGTGTTTGGTTCCTCAACCTCTCATTTTTAAAAGCATTGATAATTTAACTACACATATGTGTGGCATTGGGTAAATTAGGGAGTAGGGCACATCAATCCCTTTAACAGAAGAGTATGATCAAGGAAACAAGAATTGCAAAATTCCTGTAATTAAATTTACATGGCAAGGGGCTACAGTACATTATCTTGAGAAGTGAGATACAAGCCACTGAGTTCTCCCTTATTAATAAGTTCATTAAGAGCCAGCTT